CTTGGATTAAGAACTCTGCAAACCCAGAAGTAGGTGTTTTGGTTTGTGAACTTTGCCTTGGAATAAGAACATGTTCTATCTTCTTGTTGTGTGTGTTCCATTTGTAAATTGAGTCCCCCACTGCTACGGGAAAGCATGCCTTGGTTTAAGAACGCTTTGGTTTAAGAATGGACTTCCGGAACGGATTAAGTTCGTAAACCAAGGTACCACTGTATTTCTTATGGTCGCAACACTGGAGCATAAGAAGAGCCCAGCTGGATCAGCCCAAAGACCCATCTAGGCCAATATCCTGATCTCACAGTGGCTAGTGAGACGCAACTGTGCTCTCCCCAGTTGTAATTCTCAGCAACTGGTATTCAGAAGCACCTTTGACAGTGGAGGTAGAACATGCATAGTGCCTAATAGTCACTGATAGTCTTATCCTCCATGAATGTGTCCAATCCCCTGTCAACATCATCCCACATGGCAGCTACTTTGTAGGCATGAATTCTATGTTCTTAACCATGTGCTGTATAAATAAGTACTTGTGTTCCTCAGCAACATGGAGATTAGGTTGCTGCACTGAACTGCAATTATTTCTTGCCTTGCACTTCAAATCTTTTTCTTGAAACTGAACTCCTAGTGGAAGCCCTTGAGGCTTGAATTATCATCTGCATTATTATCTGTAGCTATAACCCACACGGAACAGAATGCCCACCTCTGTGCTTTCCAAAGATCAATGGAAGCCGCTTAGAATGAGTCAGCAACTCCTCTTATCACCCCACTCATTTACCTCAGTCCTCTTAGCCATACAGGAGAATGGGGGCCTAATAGGGGAGGGCAACAAAGAAAATGAGGGCTCGGCTTGTTGGTTACTATAGATATGAATATATACAGATAAAAGAGTATTGTTGAAATACCTGAAAGACCACACTCCTTTCCATGGGTGACTGATTAAAGTATTATTATTATTATTATTAATGTGTTTTTTATTATTCTGCTACAAACTTGTACATACATAAACCGTTACTGACAAAAGAACAGTTTGGGGGGAATAAACTACTAAACATATTATTTTACAGTACATAATAATGTGGTATTACAGTAAACTGAACTGACTAAAGTATTAATTGCCATGTCTGATTTCCAAGAGACTCCTTTTTTCTGTAGAGAAAGGTACAATTTGTTTTATCAAAGCCTCTGAAATTGCTCCAAGAATGTTGACTTTATAAAATGATTCATGCACTAATTCCTTGGCCTTTTCAGCTTTTGTTCCTTTATGAAGTTCATTCTGACATCTAGTTAGGAATTCAAGGAAGGTACTACCTCACCATTTAAAGTGTATTTACAACCCAAAGAGGCCCACTCATAGGCTGAGTGATATATACCATTTACTTGGCCTATTCATTGGGCCTGTTAAATAGTGACTGTCTTCAGTTCCTCCGTGGAGCCCTGTGAAAAATGATCCCATTGCTATGTAGGCCAATTGTGAGGAGATAGGACATATATTTCACTAATGTGCAAGAGGGAAAGTATTCTGAAGCTTAAAAACAAAGTTAAAGCTGGTTTAGTGCTCTCGTTTTGCAGAGGAAATTTTCAACAACAAAAATAAAGCAGTCTGGCTTTAAGGGTTCTTTTTGCTTGTGGCCTAATGAAAGAAATGCAGGAAGGGAATATTTTCAAGTGGGTCTCACAGTGGCAACCAAATGCCTCTGAGAAGCCCATGAGCAGGACCTGAGAGGGACTGCAGTCCCCCCTCCCCAGCAGTTTCCAGCAGCTGGAATTCAAAAGCATTTCAGCTCCGACCGTGAAGATCCAAGATGGTGGTCATCACCGCTTCCATAGTTTAACTGTGCACTCACACACGCAAACAATTCTCACTGCAGTCATCTAAAGACAACAAACCATGCCCTGCCCCTTTCACCTATCTCACCGCCAAAAGAAAATAATAAATGTATAGAAAGAGAACCTACCCAAGTGCCGCTGACACAAAAACCCCACTATCATGAGTATGGGTTGCTCGTGCGTAAGTTGCCGCCTCTCCAGGCTTTGTTGCCTTGGTAAACCTTTCAGTCTGGGCAGCCCTTCACTTCGTGGCTGCCTCAGTCGCTAGCAGAATCCGTCAGTGGGTGTTTCTTAAATCTTTTCCAACATAAAAGTTGTTTGACACCCAGTCTCCTCCTACTCTCTCTGCGCGGAAGTCTTCTGCGCAGGGTGGGCATGGGTAGCGGGGGACCAGTGCTCTCCCCGCTGGTGTCCGGTGAAGAGTCCTGGAGCCCTCTCGCCGATTCCCCCGTCAGCCCCTCCTTATCCCTGGTGTAGCGCTGATTTGCTTCCCCATCTGCGGAGCTGCCTCTCTCCCTGCTGGGCCCTTCTCCAGCATCATTTGAGAGCCTTCCCTCCGCCTCTAGCTCCGATGTCAGTTCCCTGACATCCACACATACACAAAGTAAAAGAATGTAAGTTTTACCACCCCATTCCCTCTCCCCAATTCTCTCTCCTCTCTCATCTCCCCAGCCTAATACTGTATATAGACTAATGTCTCACATTGAATGCAACTGATCACTAGCCCCCTCCTTCAGCTCAAGGCATTTCTTGAGGCCCCAATTTCACCTCCTCCTGCTCCCAGGTCATTTAACTCCAACCCCCTGCCCTCCTTATCCTGTAGCCCATCTAGTCCAGCATTCTCATAGTGGCAACGCTCATGCTCATGGGCAGTCTGCAACAAGCCCTGAACAAAAGCAGCACTCTCCCCTCCTATGGTTTCCAGAAACTGGTATTCATCCCTCCCCACGGTATACTCTGCCTCAAGACTGGAGGTTCCTACACTAGCTGCCTGGAATGCTGACTTAGTTCTCAGATACTCCCCATCTCCCCCATGGCCACAGGAGTAAAGAAGCCAGGAAGCCAGCACTAAAATGCCCAACTAGCTATATATGAGGAGGAGATGGAAATGCATGGAAACACTTGCTCAGATAAATGCCTGACTGAAAGCCAGGGAGAGGTGGCTCTCATATGCTGCCACAACAATATGAGCTTCTTCGCTCAGGTCAACTCCAGACTCCAGCCTTGCTGACCTGGAGAAATAGATATGAAACATGCTGCTTTTAGTAGCATGAACACTGAAAATTGGATATATGGATTCTGTGATAGTACTTCTGCCTTCTAGGACTAAAGCAGGCATAGGCAAACTCCGGCCCTCCAGATGTTTTGAGACTACAATACCCATCATTCCTGACCACTGGTCCTGTTAGCTAGGGATGATGGGAATTGTAGTTCCAAAACATCTGGAGGGCTGGAGTTTGCCTATGCCTGGACTACAGAGTGCCCACGCAGACACAGTCCTAGCTCTCTCTCCAATACCAATCAGGTGGAACACGCACACATATTTTCAGAAGCAAGCTAATGAGACAATCTGCAGCAAAACATGTTTGGTCCCTTTTGGCTGATATTTCTCTGCTGGTGTCATTTACCCTACACTGTTAATTAAATGAAAACAAGTGACAATTATTTGCTGCATCATAATAGGAGCTGAAATAAAGCAGAATAATTGATCTGCCATGATTTGTTTTGCCTGTTTTTAACCTAGCTGCTTGACTATCAGGTAGCTGATCATTTTGCAATGCTAGTTAGGAAACAAAAACAGGACACATTATGTTGTTCCATCTCCCGCTTGCTTTCTGGAGCTCTTTAAATCTGCTGAATGCAGCATCCCAGTTTTCCACAGTGGTAAGCTAGATGCCCATTTCAAGGTGCTGGGTTGAACCTTTAAAGTTCTGGATGACTTATTAATACCGTAATTTTATTTATTTACATCATTTGTACAAAGCCCAATTAACAATCTGGAAGGTGAACAGCAAAAACAATGATAGCATCTACAGATGCCCCCCCCCCCCCCATTTACATGCATCCCACTTGTGTGAGACTGTGTGTATGTGGGTCACCGTGGAATAAATAAACACCGTATTTTTTGCTCTATAAGGCGCACTTTCCCCCTCCTAAAAAGTAAGGGGAAATGTGTGTGCGTCTTATGGAGCGAATGCAGGCGGGGGGGCCCCAAGAGCTGCACATACACTCCACCCACTCTTTAAAGGGAGTGCGGCTCTTGGCGGAGCCTTAGCCGTGCGCAGCCTCTCCCGGGCAGGGGGAGAATTCATGCCGCTGTCCGGGAGAGGTTGTGCGCAGCTATCCCATAAGCCAGGACAGCAAGCGGGATCGCTGAGCTGTGATCCCGCTTGCTGTCCTGGCTTATGGGATTCCGAATATTTTTTTTTCTTGTTTTCCTCCTCCAAAAACTATGTGTGTCTTATGGTCTGGTGCATCTTATAGAGCAAAAAATACAGTAAACAGATTGGACTTCTCTTGCTTGGGGCTGCTGTCCAGAAGTTGCTCGGTGATGGCATTGAAGAAAGGAGTTGGGGGCTGGAAGGGCAAAGTCTCAAAACTGTGCACTAAGAGGTCTGAAACGCAAGCAGTCCCCTCCTCCAGATTCTTTGTTGTAAGTGGAGGAGGGCCCAGGCATTAGATATTTGTTGACAAGGTTAAAGACAATAGGGAGGACAGAGAGTAAGAAACTTCTCAAATAAAAGAAAATGAATACTAAACAGGCTTTGACTGACAGTGCAGCAATGATGGATGCAATGGAGGTTTCATCTAGCATAGCATATCCTCTTCTACTGAAGGAAGAGGAGTGAAGAGATGGGGGGAAGGTAAAACCTCCTCCTCTTCCTTCACTACAAACTGTTTCCGTGGCAGGAGGCACAAGAGATTAGGTGGGACCTAATAGAGACTACATCAGATGGAGATATACTTTAATGTATTGTATTTTTAACTTGATTTTTATTGTTTTCTACTTCTAAACAGCTTTGAGGGTTTTTTATTCAACTAAGTGGTGTGTAAATTTTATGAACTAAAAAGAATAGATGACTCATATGTTATGAAGAGTTGCCCTTTTATTCTGACGCAACACTGTGGAGTAAACCATAGTGCTTCCCATTTCTTTTTCTTTTCCCCTTGATTTTGAGTTGGTCAGTAATACACTGGTTACAATGCTATTGTCCCACTCAACAGGAAATAAAACCTTTTACATGTTTTAACCTACATGTGACTTAAGGCATCATGAGTAGTTAGTAATTTTTGTATTGTTTTAATTATGCTGCTATTTTTGTCATTAGATTCAATTAATTAAACCCTGTTTAAGAACAGAGTCTAAGTTCAGAGTCCAAACTATCTCTTGAAGGGTCATGTGCAGCTTTTTTAAAAAAAAACGGGCAACATGACTATCAATTAGAAATATGAGCAGGCAGAATATATGGTTCTTGCAGAACGATACGTGGGAACAGCGAACAAACTAGATATGTGGAGATTCACATCTTCACACCTTTGTTTGCTTCAGCAGACAAAACTGTTTTGGAAAATGTTTATTTTCAGCTGGGGTGTGGATGCGCCCCCCCTTTTTTTGCAACTGATGTTGTTCCTTCTGGCTCTGATCCATGAAATGCTGTTCATTTTATAGCTTCCCTTGAGGCTCAGAGAACAGACAAATCCATGTTCTACCTAGCTCAAAGATACAGACACAGGCCATTGAGAGCCACAGGCCATTTCCACAACTGTGGAAAGACACAGCAGGAAACTGCAAGCGGCTGCTACTCGGCAGCAAGTTCCTTTTATCCCCAGAGAGATAGGAACAACAACCAAAAAAAGAGGAAAGAATCGGAACTAGTATATTTCCTCAAATGAGAAAATAGGTAAGGTTACATCCCATAAGGCAGTCTATCCGCTGGGAATCTACACTAGTTACAAACTTAACGGCCCAATGGATGCAATCTCTGCTTCATATACATGAAGCTGATAGAGCGCTTATCTGAAAAGTATTCTAAAAGGAGGAGTAGCAGAGGAGTGACATTTGCAGAGAGTTCACTACATCCTGTTACTGCTTTCAAAACTGAATATGCAGAATTGAATGCATTTTCATCTCCATGAACTGACAGGAACTTATGATGGGGAGTTGATTAATTATTATTTAATAAAATAGCAGAGCTGAAACTTAAAGGGATATTCTAAGAGCATATTCTCTTTCACAATTTAATTGTTTTAAAACGATGTGTGTGTGCACACCCACACCCTTACCGCTATGCTAGAATTTAGAATTGTTACATTGTGTGTGTGTGTGTGGAATTCTGAAGAAGGTTCTAACATGTAGACCCCATTAAATACAATGGTCATTACAAGACTGAAATTGTGCATGGCATTGTGCTCTTTCTTTGCATACACAGGTTAGAAAGTGCCACAAACCTAGGAATGAAGGAGAAATATGTTCTGACTGTATTTTTAAGTGAACCTACTTAATTCACCTGCAAGCACGTTGCCTTGCCCCCACAATTGAAAGGGCTGGGGCCACGCAATGTCAGCACACTGCACATACATGCCACAGGGTCTGGTGACATCACTCATGCACACAACTCGCACGTGCTTGGGGTATGCTGATGTCATGTTATGCAGTGTACTGATGTCACCCGACCATGGCCCCCTCAATCGTGGGGTTAATATAATTTAATTATTATATAATTTAATCCCCACTGTGGAACACTTATCAGTTTATCTATACTTCCTCTTGTCCCGCTGCTTTCCCTGCAGGGAAAATTACTCTTTAGTGCTCATTCGGAGCAAACAGCAATTTGGGTTCCCCCCAGATTGTTAAAGAGCAGGTTTATCCTTGGGAAGGAGTGGGGCAAAGGGAATACCACTAGGACCCATGCCTGGAAAGCACGTCACAAGAGAAAGTGTAGATGAGCCCTATATTACCAACACAGAGCTTTCTGAATGGATCACAATGCTTGAAAATATTATAGTTATTGCATTTTACTGAAGCAAAGCATATGAATATTATTGCTTACCACAAAATAGCACGATTAAATTGTGTCACCACTGCAGATAACTGTTTGGAAAACTTCCAAAGAACTGAAAATATGTGGGCGTCTTATTTTACAGCATGGTAGTAAATAAAAGTAAGGCAGATCACCTGGCCTTAAAAATGTATGGTTTTTTTTTTCTTCCTTATTTCATTGTCTGCATCACTTACTAATAGGTGGAAGCACTGAGGTAAGATTTTATCCACAGATACAATCCAGCATAATAACAGAACTTTTACAGAAGGAACAGTCAGCCCCCAGCTTCCTCCACAGTTTTATCTCTCCACTGTCCGCCCGCCACCTCCCAGTACAACCAACTTTCATGCTCATTATACAACAGATGGAAATTATTCATTTACAAGAACAACATCAAAATGAATATGGCAAGTCTATCCCCCTAAGATTTTTGTTTAAAGGAGCAGCAGGAGGGATGGACAGAGCCATTGCTGACAAAATGTCTCCATGCTCCCATTTAACCTGACGAAATATGAACACAGTTTGTCCTTCTCCACTCCCAGTGGCCTTATTGAAGCACAGCAACAGATGTTTGGTCACCACTGCCTGTCACATGCCCTCCCCCCTTGTTTATTGGTGGGACGTGCACACATATTTTCAGAAATAAGCTAATGAGATGATCTGCTGAAAAACTACGGATGTGAAAAGAAAAAGGAGGAAGTAAAAGCCCGGCTGTTGAGACGAAGTATGGTTTTCGCCAACCATAAGCCTTTAGGGGACATGGCTGAAGCATGTCCAATGGCCCTATCAGGTGTTATAGACAACTCACAGTGCTTTAAATTGGAGGCAAAAGATTCATGGTATCGTTGCACCCATGTCAATAAATCAACACCTTTGTCTGGCACAGTTCCAACCCCACTGGTGGTGGAAATTGAGACACCTTGTAGAAGCACTGCATAAGGCAGTTTGCACAAGGCTACTATGAAGCAGAAGACTGCACTATGATCCCCAAGAGGAAGATGGGAAATGGACTTAGTATGGTCTTTTATACTGGACTTGTATTGGGGGGCCACTAGGGGGCGCATCGGAAGATGGCTGACAATAACATCTCTCCGACCCACATGAGGTAATTTGGAGGCTATGATGGGGGTAATTAGCCTCCTTAACCCCTCCAGGATTGTGGGGGGGACGGCCCTTGCCTGCTGTGCCCTATACCACCCCCGAATTTGTGGGGATGGGGGCACTAGGCACAAAGCCCTCCTGTGGGATTCCGGCACTCCTCGAAGCCGTCTCTGATCCGCGCCACTAGTTTGCAAGAATCTTCAAAAGAAACAATTTGGACGAGATAAATTGCACATACTTCCAAGGAAAGAGGGGGAGAAAAGACTGCTGACAGAAGAGATCTCTGATAAAACAAGACAAGAATAAGATATGAGAAGATACGTCAAGAGACGGTACGGCAAATGACTGAGGGGGGAGGGGGGAAAAACTCTCTTTTATTTCTCTATGTGATTAAACAAGAATCCCTCCCCTAAAGAGTCAGAAATGTCGTTTTAAGGACTTAAGTTGTGGATTTAAGGCTGTGTGGAGATAAATTTTCGAACCAAAGCAATGTTCCAAGACGAAGCTGGAAATTTAAGAGTTTTGGAATGACGCAGTTAAAAATGCCGTCGCCATTTTGGGAGGCACTGTCGGAGCTCTTGAGTCTGGGAGGAGAAGAAACAGAGTTGTTTACATATCGTGGACTAACTCCTCGGTGGGATTTAAGAGTGACAACTGCCTAATTTATGATGGAAAGAGCGATGTTATCTACGAAGGAGATGATTTATGGAAACCATCTGGACTTAGATTGGAAGAACGGGAAATTCACACAGGATTATTATATTTGCTTATCGGCTTAAGGAGACTAACAGAAGAGATCGTAAAGGAAAAATAAAAATTATATGAACAAGATATGATGTGGAAACACCAAGATAAGATTGGATAGAACTATGAACTCTGTTTGGACTGATTGGGACTGATTTGGACATTAATGCAGTAATAAGAAGATGATTTGATCTTGAAGTATGGGTTCCCCCAACAAAATTTAAAAATTTGGCTTTGTAATTTGGAATTTATGTGATGTGATTTAATTTGATGTGATTGGCCAGTTAATAAAAATTATTAAAAAAAAAAAAATATACTGGACTTGTATTACTGTCTATTTTAATCATATTATGTTGTATAGAGGATAGGATATAGAAATATGTTATCTTTTACATTAATTGGTCTGTTACACTGGGCAGTGCCGCTCAGGCAGAATGGGAAAGGAATAGTTTTCCCAGGCTTGGAATGAAACCAGCTGTTGGATATGTGTGTATATATGAGAGTTCCTTGAACCAGAGGCTGGAGGTGATGGAACAGTAAAAAAATCAAGCCCAGTGTTCCCATTGCAAAGTAAATGCTGAAAAACATTTAATAGGCCAGTGGTGGTGGGAACTTCCATTTTTCAAAATCTGATCCATCAGGATTAAAATGGATTCCTATAAAATTAGTGAGTATCTTTTTCATTAAGGCAGTGAGTTCCAAACTATGTTGCACTGCGTTCCAAACTATGTTGCATACTTTAAGCATGCAAAGGAATGCTTCTTTAAAATGCTGTGTGCATATGTCTACTGCACACTAATAGGGTCTTGCAATGGGACCTAAAAAAGCTGCTATAAAATATCTCCTGGGTTATTGCCTTCAATTCTTCACTACTTATATTCTGATAGTTGTCAGGCTTTTGCTTCTACTTGTGCCAACAGAAGGGAGCATATGCCCTAATTAATGCAATTTGGTATACAAAAGAATGCAAATTGCCGCAGTGCAACCAAAAAATGGGGGATTGTGGGCCATAAACATTGGGATAGCTGAGAGCTATTTTACGCTTTTGCCAAATGCAGCTAAATTAATAAGGATTAATAAAAAGTATTTTGGAAAGAAGACCCAAAAAAAGAATGAAAATGTGCATGCAAGTCTGTTCAAGAGCAAAAAAACAAAACAAAAAACAACCGTGAGTTTGTAATGAATAATAAGACATGCAAAAAACATGATGGGTAATTAACCCATCTTAATCTTAATATAAAAGTCAATTCAGGTTGCATAATTGCTGACCCCTCCATTCAGAGACTTCCTCCTGAAGGAAATAGCCTTTGGGCCAGTGGGACAAGCAGCTCAGGGCTGGCCGTTTCCTTATAAAGCGGGTGCCGCCCTGATCACTCCTTCTTCACACTTTACAGTCTCTCATATGCCAGCCATTAGGGAGTGCAGACACTACTAGTACAAATGAGTAGGGTGTCTCACCTTTTTATGTACTACATGCTTTCCCTTATATGACTGAATTACAGTGGTTTGGACTTGTTTATCTGGCTGTTTCATTTTGATTCCAGTTGGCATTCAACAAGGGCAAGTTGACTGCAGTAGGATGACTATAACTGGTAAGCACCCCGAGGCACTCTAGCATGAATGGAACTTCTCCAATCACCTCCCAATGCCAACTGGCTTGGGAGGTTGCTGGATCCAATGTCTGGCCTGGTGTGTTTCCCCTGATGAGTGCTGGATAGCAGGTGCAGGGTGTGCCCCACACCTACTGCTTTCCTATACAGGGAGGTTTAAAGATTTGCCCCATTGTTGCATATGATGAAGATTCACAGGGGCGGTTTTGCCAAGGGTAGTAAGCATAAGTTCTTCCCTTCTCTGCCTACCCAGTTTCTACTGTCCATACTTAAAGAACTTGGTTTAGTTTGTTGTGGACTCTCTCCCCATCTTCATCATGTGGAAGGATAGGTTCCAAAACACGGTACACAAGGTTCACAACCACTTTCTTTTAAAAAGTTGAAAGGTAGTGCTGGAGTTCCTGAGGATGAGCAGGATGCCCACATTAGGAAGGCGCTGATTCTGTGGAAGGACATTTCACTTAGGGCTGCTGAGAGGTCAAGGCATCTGCCCTTGAAATCACACTGCTGCCCAGGAAAGCTGGGGGTGGGGGGTGGGGCTTAACTGGCTGGGAACCACTGGTTCCAATACTAGGGGAGCCTGGGTTCCCAGGCACCCACACTGTGAGGCTCTGACTCTCATCCTTCCTTTCATACAGTGGCAGAATGTCCTCTATTTGCATGGCCAGGCCCCTCCAATACTGAATGCAAACGTGTACGGCATTGTGAGTATTCCAGTTTTTATCTGCAAAAAGCGTGAGGGTTGTCTACATGTGCTCTGCTTGGGGGGGGGGCAAGGTTCTGAACATTGCTTCGTCCAAGTTGCCGATTCAGGTGAGTCCCGTGAAGCAGATTCCCATGTCATTTCTCCTTGTTTTCTTTCCAGGTGCAGCCAAAGGATCACTCTGCCAGTCTGAGAAAGATGGCAAATGGAAAAAGTGTGATGAACTTTCAGTTTTGGCTTTGCAAGAAAGGGTATGGTGCTTTGGATGTAATCTCGTATTTTTGGGGGGCGGGGGTGCATGGTGTTTCCAGGATTTCTCCTGGCTGAAAATTCCTATGAGAGAGGGGTTGGGAGAAACAAACAGGGGGCAGGAGCAGAGGGCCATTCTCAGCAAATTCTCATGTAATTTATCCCCCTGTCATGCTGCAGCCAAACAATCTACCTCTCTGCAGCCAGGCCCTTTGAGAACGGGCCTCATATGTAGGCAGTGTGATGTGTATCACGTTTTGGTTGTAAAATAAAATTTTACAATGCTCTTTTTTGTACTGCTTATGTGTGTGGGGTGTGTGTGAGAGAGAGTAAGAGAGGCTTGGTACTGAACCGGGCTTGCTCCAGGCTGCACCTTCTCAGGAGACAGTGCTTCAGGAGGAAAACAGGGGGGCAGGAGACATGAGTCACATTCTGCAGCTTTTTATGTCATTTCTCTTTCTTTTTGTCTCGTGGCAGCTGAACGATCAACCACTCCCCAGCATGGACCCTCCAGGCAACAAAGTAGACTGCATGGTGCGTATTCCCTTGCAGATGTGTCTGAAGTGTGCTCTGGATGCTTGCGAGGAGGGAGGTTGCAGCCAAGATTGCTCCTATCTGCCCATTTTGTGAGGGGGGGGGTAATGAGGACCAGAAGCATCTCATGCTTCAGATTCTCATGTCGTTTCTCTGACTTCTTCCACAGTGGTCAACCGCCAGGCCAAGTCATGGCAGAGCACAAAAGTGTATGTTGTTGTGAATTTTAACTTTTTGAAGTCAAGGTTGTACTGTCTGTGTTCTTCTTATGGGGGTGCCATAAGGGCTCACTCTTGACTGCCCCCAATAATAAAGTGTGCAAAGTGTGCCTTTTCCTTGTCAGTAAGGGTCAAACTAAACACAACTTTAATTGCATGGAAGCTATTAAGTGCATGCTTTTGTTATGTAAATAGAAGCCTGAACAGTCTTGGGACTGTGGAGTGGAGGAGTTGAATTATCTTTTCTTGCAATAGTTCTGGCAAAAAAATCACATCTAGAAAGGTGCCACTTGTAATTCAAGGGAAGCATTCACTGCCATAAATAGACGATGGCAGAATGTGGCCCAACTGGCCCTAAAGCTACTCAAGCTTCCAAGAGTTTCCATTTGTATAATAAAACCACACATTCATTGCAGTCATTCATTTTGTCAGGATGGGTGTGTGTCCCCCCAAGTCAATCAAAAGTCTGGTCTAAAGGTAAACTGACACCACCTGCTGAGATTAAAGGACCAACATAAGTCCAACTTTGGGAAATCAGCTTCAAGGAACTTCAAGGGGACAAGAGGGACCACAGCATGTTCCTAAAATTCCCCACAGGAAAAGGAAAGGGGAAGAACTCTGAAAACATACCTTCCATGAACCATGATATTTGAAACACTGGAATTACAATCAAGGTAGTTTCTCATCAAATTCTACAGCAGCAGGACTTATTTAAGATAGTAAAAGAGCAGCAATACAAGATTCTGTTACCTGATGTAGAGATTTAGAAATAAAATAAAATATGCCAAAGTAGAATTTCAGGAATATCTGAAAAAAAGAACAGACATCCCAATCCCAAGAAATCAAGAAAGAGCTAGATTAGGAATGAGTACCGTACTTCTTTCCACCACCATCTTCCCCACCCCACCTTACCCCACCCACAAATATAAGTAGCTTAATGAAATGGTTATTGAATACTTGCAGAAAATTAGGCAAACAGCTAGCAGGGGAAAATAAATCTACAAGGTAGAGATTTTCATGCCTGTTCACCTAGAGATTGCATAACCTGTCCCAAAGCAATTCCAAAGCAGGGTTTGCTAGAAATCTGCAGAACTAGTCAGGAGGTGGACCCCCATAACAGGCCCAGCTACAAGATGTTGGTATGATGGTTGAGGAATTCAAAATAACCCAGGGGTTAAATACAGGCCACCAGGAAAGGGTGGTAAATAACAGGCTGCTAGCAGCTTCTCAAGGATAAAATGCATTCTCGGGGGCCCTGAAACTATCCCAAAACCCTAGCCTCAGGTATTGGCACTATTACTGTGGGTGTTTCCGGTTATATGGACTCTGTTCTGAAACCATATGCCATCAGTGCTCCCAGCTACGTACGTGACACCACAGATTTTCTGAGGAAAATACAATCTTTGAACAATCTACCTAACAATACTATACTAGCCACTATGGATGTGGAATCCCTGTATGCCAACAATGGTTTACAAACTATAAGGAACACCATTTCAGATAAAATCACAGCGGACTTTGCTACCAAACTCTGCCATTTTGTCCTTACCCACAACAACTTCAAATTTGGTGATGACCTCTTCCTCCAGATCAGCGGCACAGCCATGGGCACCCGCATGGCCTCACAGTATGCCAACATCTTCATAGCAGATTTAGAACAATGCTTCCTAAACTCCTATCCACTCAAACCTCTCTTGTACCTGCAATACATTGATGATATTTTTATTATCTGGACACATGGTCAACAGACCCTGGACACCTTCCACCAGACATTCAATGACTTTCACCCCACCATCAACCTAACAATGAACCAATCTATGGACACTACTATAAAAATATAGGGTGGGCGTATAGACACCACCTTACACCATAAACCAACTGACCGACAAACATATCTACATGCTTCTAGCTATCATCCCAAACAATCCATTGTATATAGCCAGGCCCTACATCTGTTCCAACTCTACAGACAGAGACGCTCACCTAAGAGATCTACAGCAAACCTTTTTAGAACTAAAATATCTGCCTGATGAAGGTAAACAACAGATCAACAGAGCCAGACTGATACTCAGAGAGAACTTGCTGCAAGACAGACCCAAAAAAGAAAATAACAGAACACCACTACTAATCACATACAGCTCCCAAGTTAAAACAGTTCAGTGCATCATCAGAGATCTGCAACCTGTCCTAGAAAATGACAGTTCTCTTTCTCAAGCTCTGGGAGGAAGACCTTTCATTGCCTACAGATAGCCATCAAATCTTAAACAACTCCTCACCCACAATAATACAACAACCAGACTTAACATGGACACAGGTACCAAAGCCTGCAATAAACCCAGATGCCAACTTTGCTGCCACATATACTCGGTCAACACCATTACTGGCCCAACAACATCAAACATACTATCTCAGGACTATTTAATTGCTCATCTTCTAACATTGCGTATGCCATCAAATGCCAACAGTGTCCTTCAGCTCTCTATATTGGACAAACAGGCCAAACTCTACGCCAAAGCATAAATGGACATAAATCTGATATCAGGAATCACAAGACAGAGAAGCCAGTAGGAGAACACTTCAATCTCCCAGGACATCCTATACAAGATCTCAAAGTAGCTGTCTTATTACAAAAGAATTTCAGAAATAGACTGGAAAGAGAAGTTGCTGAATTGCAACTTATTACCAAACTTAAAACCATGGAGAGACCTGGTCTGAATAGAAACATTGGATTCTTATCTCATTATACATGATAAAGCTATTTTTAGCCATCTCACCCCTTGCTTTTTCCTGTAAGACCAATTGCAGTCGTTAACAGTCGTCAACAGGTTTACCACACCTATTAGCCAATCACCCATTCCCACCGCCCTTCTAAGTAATACCCCTCCCCACCCTCTCACTATATATATATATATATAAGGGTCTGGTGACTTCTGTTTCAGTGCATGCACAAGAAAGCTCATACCAATAACAAACTTAGTTGGTCTCTAAGGTGCTACTGGAAGTATGTGATGCTAGTGAGTGTTTTTCTGCAATCCCGCCCCCAAGCTCAACAAATGTAGTTAATCCCCCTCAAAAGCTCAACAACTCTTGATACCCCCCCCCCAAAAAGCTCTACAACTCTGGATAATCCCCTCCAAAGCTCTACAACTCTTGATAATTCCCCCCAAAAGCTCACCAACTCTGGACAATCCCCCGCCTCTTAAGCTCTTAGTGGCTCTTAGTGCAGCCCTCCAGTGAAGCTTCTGGAAAAAGTGTATTTCCAAGGTTTGATGGCTCATAACACTACTTTCTTTGGAGTAATACCAGTGCTTTTTTCTGTGAGCATGCAGAGGGATGCATACCCCTAAACATTTGGTGATTTAAATGGGTGAAGATATTCACTGTATTTATTTTAACCCAATTAGAACTGTATTTATTTTCCCCAGTGGTGATTTTCTTGAGTCAAAATGAGAGTACCCCTAAACATTTTTTTAGGGTGGGGGGAAGCACTGAGTTATACCATAAAATTATATATCAATGGAAAGGGTTACATTAACCCTAATGTATGAGTTGTTTTTTTCTAAACTAATACCTCAGTATTCAGGTTAAATTGCCGTGTTGGCACTTTGTGATAAATAAGTGGGTTTGGGGTTGCACTTTGGGCACTCGGTCTCTAAAAGGTTCTCCACCACTGCCCTAGGCATTGATGAACCAAAGTTTGCTCAAACATTCCCAAGTTGTCCCCAAATGCCCAATGATAAAACATAACAAGTCTAGTTAATAATTAACATATCACAGGATTGACTCAGTCCGGATACATCTAGCCTCATATCCACAGCACTAAGTAGGACAAACAATAGCTCACTCACTAAGATTAGGAAAACAAATTCCCAGAGTAGAATGAAAAACTTCTGTGCAGGAAGCACCAGCCCCTTTTATATATGGAGGCCTAGATTTCCCCCATTCTGTTAGGGAATGCTAGATGATCTTAGCCTCTGCAAATGCCACTATAGCCTGACCTGGTTGTCAGCTCCTGGACTAAAGTGCAGATTGTAACTTGAAAATTCACCAGCGTTTGTATTTCCCAAAAGCTCCATTTCAGGTCCCAAACCATATCAAAATACATTTTAAAATGCACATTTCAAGAGAAAATACACTAAGAGATGTGTATTTAAAAGCATATTAAAATACTTATTTAAATGCATTCTTGTGTGGATTTTTGTGACTCACTAACTAATGTGGAAATGGGGTGGAATGGACTTATGAGTGAGCATGTGAAAGAAACAAAGAGCAGAAAGAGACACTTGTGCTTCCTTACACTTTGTTCCTTTCCCCTGCACTTAACAGCCAAAACAAAAATTTGGCAAGAGTTGATAGAAAGTTATATTTGTTAAAATATAATAAGGAAGAATTGATACCAACTTACACAACAATCACAGGCAGGTAGAAAAATCTGCTTCCTTCTAAATTCCAAACCACCCCAAGGTAAATTTCATTACCCAAGCTGGTATGATGGGATGTAAATACCCTCTTCTTATAAAGGAAAGCTGTGGGTTTGTGACCTGATTGGTGCCACCCATGCAGCGAATGGCAAATGTCAAGCCGAAGAGCACAAAACCAAGCAGCCCTGCAACCTAGTAAACAATAGGAGTGGTTAGTGCCCTCCACTCAGGATTCCTCAGGATGCTGATCATGCTCTAAACCACTCACCTGTTCACATTAAATGCCCAAAACAAACCCAAACCAACCATAAATCAGTTGAATTAACCATAAATCAACTGAGTTAAAGCAGTTGGGTTTAAAGGGTCACAACTCAATATTATAATTAAAGGGGTGTGGCAGGATGATCACTGGGTCATTAAGAATTTCCTCTCTTTGGTGAAGCAGCCACACATCAGTAAGGTTGACTGATGCATCTCTTCCATTACCAGCCTTCTCTAACTGAGAGCTGACGTGGGTCCTGGTTCTTCCATCTTACCACTGGCAGTGGTAAAGAAGCTTCTTAGGCCCAAGTGATTGTCCGTCCCTTACTCTTCTTTGCAAATAATGACAGGTAGATTTTTTTAGAAAAATGAATCATGCCCCCACATTCCGAACAATCACGCAGCATGGAGTAGGCAAGAAAGGAAGAGATCAGTCAAAAAGTTGATTACAAGAGCAACAACAAAATATTGAGTGTTGGGTGTATGCACCAGCTTGATCAGGTTCACCACAGAAAACAGCCATTTAGCAGAGTTGACTTTACTACACCTACACCAACACCAACACCAACATATACCACTATACACTATTGGCAGATGTTAAGAGTAGTCTTCTCTCTCTGAACCCAGAGTGGGTGCTTTGCTTCTATGTCCTGCTGTGTTAAAGTCCACAGCAAAATTCCAGAATTTAGTTGCTTCAATGTCTTGCAACTCTTCATGCAGACTTCAGCCTTACACAGTTTCAGTTCTTCTTCAGACTGTTCCACACTTCCACACAAATTCTCCTACTATCCCACTACACCAAATGCAGTAACCTGAGCCTCTTATTTACCCAGTGCTATTGTTCAGTTCTTTCCAGCAACACTTATAAGACAGTCACAAAATGCTTGCAGCTGCATAGTGGGGAATTATCTCCCCCCCACACACACTTTCTTTCTTTTTTTAAACTTTCCTTAACACAAAATTCCTGCTTGGACCCAATAGAATAGCCAGCTAATCTCACACTAATAAAAGAAAGGGTGTATGAATCACCACACCAAGTGAAGCGGCCTGTTGTTGGAATGTTGTTGCCTTATAAAGACTGACCTCAACTCATTTGGTTCTATTTTTCCATGTGTAAGGGGCTTAGTTGGCACTTGTCATGGTGTTTCATGCAAAACCAAATAGAATGAAATTACTCCTAGTACAAGTCACAGGGGCATCATTCCACATGTGCATCACTCTATAAACAAATTCAAAAGTACAAGTGCACTAGTGGAAAACTCCCAATAAGAATTTAAGAAAACCCTGTTGTATCAAGCCAAAGGTCCATGCTGTTCATATACAGTGGTACCTTGGTTCCCAAACTTAATACATTCTGGAAGTCCATTCCAAAACCAAAACATTCCAAAACCAAGGTGCGCTTTCCCACAGAAAGTAATGCAGAACAGATTAATCTGTTCCAGACTTTTAAAAACAACCCCTAAAACAGCAATTTAACATGAATTTTGCTATCTAATGAGACCATTGATCCATAAAATGTAAGCAATAATCAATGTACTGTAGTATAAAATAAATAAAACAGTATTGTAGAGCCTGTGTGGTGTAGTGGTTAAGAGCGGTAGTCTTGTAATCTGGGGAACCGGGTTCGCGTCTCCGCTCCTCCACATGCAGCTGCTGGGTGACCTTGGGCCAGTCATACTTCTTTGAAGTCTCTCAGCCCCACTCACCTCACAGAGTGTTTGTTGTGGGGGAGGAAGGGAAAAGGAGATTGTTAGCCGCTTTGAGACTCCTTAAAGGGAGTGAAAGGCGGGATATCAAATCCAAACTCTTCTCTTCTTCTCTTCTTCTAGATCAAGCATGACCAACTTCAAGTAGGCTGTGCAGGGTGGGTGGGAGCTGGCTGCTTCCTCCAAGGGGGCAGGGATGGGTGCACGGTGGGTGGCAGGAGTGGGTACAGGGTGGGCAGACAGCTCTGTCTCTCCTCCGCAAACCAGCGCATGATCTTTCTCTCTCTCCTCAAATCAGCTGGGTTGTGGAGCTCCACCAGGGGATGCTTCTCTCCACCTCCCCAATCAGCACACAATCTCTAGAGATCTCTCTCTTTCCTCAAACCAGCTGTACTGCGGAATGCTGCCAGGACGCTTCTCCCCACCTCCCCAATCAGCACGCACAGTCACAAAAACAAATTAACCGAAAAAACCTCAGAAACAAATATGCAAAATAAATAGCAAAAACAAAAGCCCAAAATATAAGCTACAAATATCACCTCAAAACACTGCAATTACAATAAAGGTAAAGGGTAAAGGGGCCCCTGACCATTAGGTCCAGTCGTGGCCGACTCTGGGGTTGCAGCGCTCATCTCCCTTTATTGGCCGAGGGAGCCAGCGTACAGCTTCCGGGTCATTTGGCCAGCATGACTAAGCCGCTTCTGGCAAAGCGTGTTCTCCTTCATGGAGAGCACGTGTTGCGGTGGGGGCCGCCAGGACACTCCAAAGTTGGGGGGGTGGGCTAATTGTTCCTTGGCCACTGATGCGATTGGGGCTTCCCTTGTTGTTGGGAAGAAGTTAATGTTGCCATTTATTGATTGACAGCCAGAAATAGTAAAACTCCTTGTACGAGGCTAGGGCTTCCTTTTTTCGCCCGTGCATCGGATTGCCCGTCCCTCGTAATATTTTCTTTTACTTTTACTCTGCTTTCCCACCCCCACCCCCCTTGGTCTTTAATTCCCCCCTACTCCCACCTCCCCCTCCTTTTAGCTTACTTTAATGTTGGGTCTTCTAATTTGGTGACAGGCCTCTCCAAGGCCGGTTTTCTTTAATTCATTGCCCCGGCTGCCCCTTTTCTGCCAGTCCTGGGTGAAGGGTGGGCCTGGCTGAGGGTGCAGCGGCCTTGGGCGGCCGTTTTTAGGCCTTTTTCGGAGGCGCCTGGTGCTGCGATGCTGCGGGGAGTGCCTCCGGCCTTGCCAGGCCCGTGAGCTTCCCCCCCCCCGCCCTATTCCTTAAAGGGCCGGTTTCGGCCTTGTTAGCCTGGCAGGCCCCGTTGTGATCACCACCTTCCCTGCTTTTTGGCGGGAGCGCCATTTTTGAGGCCTAGTTTGCTCTCGTAGAGCCTCTAGTGGCCGTTCTGAGGTACTGCAGCGCTTGTTTTTATTGCATTATTTTAGGCTGACATTGCAGCCTGTGTACTTTAATTGTAAAGAAAATAATTTAGAGGCGAGCCATTGTGGCTTAGTGGCTAGAGTGCAGGACTAGGTCCTGGGAGACAGGGTTCATATCCCTCACTTAGCTATTGTTATAACAAAACAAATCAAAATAAATTTGGGTTTCTTGAGGGGGTGCTTCCCTCTAAAAGGGCAAGCAGGGGTACCTGGACAGGCGGTGGGCTGCCTCAAGTCTGTTATCTCATTGGAAACATTTATGTCTGGCCTAGCAGGTGATCCTAGGGCTTTGCTCGAGAATTTGATGGCCTTTGGCAGCAATTTCCGGCCTGAATAGCATCCCCATGTGGTGCACGAAGCATTGGTTTCACTGGTTCCTCACATTATTTAGTTTTTTGCAGACTATGGCAGGGCCTTTGCAGATGCCTCCAGAGCTTGTCTCTCCTGCAGAGGATGACTTGCTGATGCCCCAGGTGCCTTCTTCTGGAAGAAAGCGTCTTCAGAGGCGGAGATCCAGGAGGGGTGGGCAAAGAAGAGCAGAGATGATTCTTACACTTCCTCACAGGTACTTCATTCCTGGGCTCTGATGACGATTCAGCCGTCACCTTGGACCTCTATGGGGTCAGGGTGAGGCTGTCCCGGGTCTTTAAGGATCATCCTGGTTAGCTCAGCAGGTCAGCACGTGGTGCCAGTAATGCCTAGGCTGCGGGATTGGTCCCTGTAAGGGACAGCTGCATGCTCCCCCATCGTTCTACCTGGACAGAAGCCTGGTTGCAGGGGGCCGGGCAGAGGGCCTTCTCGGTGGTGGCACCTGTCCTGTGGAGAACCCTCCCACCAGATGTCAACTACCAGACATTTAGAAGACATCGGAAGGCAGCCCTATTTAGGGAAGCTTTTATTGTCTGATGCATTACTGTATTTTAATATTTTGTTGGAAGCCACCCAGGGGAAGCCCAGCTAGATGGGCGGGGTATATTTAATTTTATTATTATTATTAGGGAGTGGACTAGAAGATTGTTGGTGTCCCTTCCAACTCTACGATTCTATAAGTAGCAATTCACTATGATGGGAATGTTAGACCCAGGGCTGCCATCATCCCCACAGCTTGCTGGGATCGCAGGGATGGGGACGTGTGGACCACTTGCGCAGCTCCACATTTCAAATGGAAATTCCCTGAGCAGTAGAACCTGAAACTGGTGTGCAGGAAGCTGGCCCGGCGGCAGCTTTGTTGTTTAGGGGGTCTGGACAGCGTCAGCCCTGTAAATTCACACATCATGGTGGCAGCACAAGACGCCCCCTGCCCAAGCGGGGGCTGGGAGCTGGCAAGCAATAGCTCCTTATCTCTGGCCCATATTCCCATAAAATTATCTCCCTTGAAAGCCTGGCTAAAAGGTTATCAAATGGGTCAGCGACTTTGTGCTTGTGGGAAGGGTTTTCTCAAGGTTTAGGATTCCTCTGGCTTTTCAGCCAGTGGCTCGGAATACAGCAAATCAAAAGTCAGTTAGAGAGCCACCTAAGGTAGCCAGAAACAAGGTTAGGAAGCAGCTTGCATTGGGACGTATGGTGGGACCCCTAAGAAAACCCCATATAATTCCATCTGATCCTTATTTATCGCATCCCAAAGGCACCTCAGTGAATGACACTATCCTTAAGGAATAGTTCCGCGAAATTCACATCTTTGGAGCAGGCGGTTGAGCTTACCACAAAATTGGAAGAGGTGCCTTGTTGGCAATATGCTATATTGAATCGGCTGTTAGGCTGCTGCTGGTTCACCAGCGAGATTTTAAGTGGTTGGGCTTTAATTTGGATGGGGCTCCTTATATTGATAAGGCAATGCTGATGGGTTGCGCAATAGACTGTGCAGCACTCCAGTCCTTTAGCGCCTTTCTGGATTGAACAGTGCGAGTCTATACTCATTTAACTGGGGGTACCAATTTTTTGGATTATTTTACTGGCTGGTTCATGTGACACCAGCCTCTGTGTAGGCTTGCTAGACACCCTTTATTCCTCTGAGGAGCTGGGTGTTTCATAGGTAGTAACGTATTTGGGGGTTAGCTGGATACCGTTGCTCAAACATCTGCTTGCCTGTGGTGAAGCTGTTTGCCTTGAAGGAAGTTATTCTTGTAATGCTTCCTCTGAAGCAAGTGTTGCTTTGTCAAATCCTATCATTTGCTAGGTCAGTTAAATTTTGCATGCAGGGTGGTTGCTCCAGGCTGCCCCTTCCGTTCCTGTTTGGCCAGGTTGTCTCATGGCCTGAGGTCCCTTCTTCATCATGTACACTGGCCTTGAGCCTGGCAGGGCAAGCCAATCATTATTTAGGGATCCAGATGGATACTGTTGCTCAAACATACTGCTTGCCTATGGAGAAGCTGTCTGCCTGGAAGGAAGTTATTTTGTAATACTTCTTATGAAGCAAGTGATGCTTCATCAGATCCGATCTTCCTGGGTCATTTAATTAAATATTGCATGCAGATTGGTTGTCCCAGGCCGCCCCTTCCGTTCCCACTTGGCCAGGCTGCCTGCGGCCCGAGGTCCCCTTACCTTCGTGTACGCTTACATGGCAGGATACCTTGAACCTGCACAGCGATTTTCAGGTTCATGCTGATGCTGCTGGATCTTTGGCCTTTGGTTTTTATTTCAGGGGCTGCTGGTGTGCAAAGCCATGGCCTCAAGCCTAGTGTGGTGAGGCTATCATGTGACCTAACTTTGCTTGAGTTTTTCCCATTGTAGTGGCAGTTCACATCTGGACCAGGAATTCAGTGACCGTCGGATCTGCTTTTGGTCTGATAACCAGGCAGCGGTGAGCATCTTGGCAGAACAGTCCACATGCTCCAGCAGAGTCTCCGCCCCTCTGCTCACGCTTTGGAGCTGCACTGCTTAAGGTTTAATATTGTGCTTGGTGCTCACCTGATTAGGGGATCCTCTAATGATATTGCTGACACTCTATCCCATTTTCAGATGGAGTGCTTCAGATCCTGGGCTCCAGACACTCAGCTATTGCCGGACTTTTCCGGACCACCTGTTGCACTTTGACAACAATTAGTAATTACAGGGAGTAGCAGCTTCCATTCCCCTTCTGCTTTTAGCTCTTATGAGAAGGCCTGGACTGATTTCTTAGGGTTTAGTTGACAGCCCTTGGCCTTTCAGAGGAAGTTGCCCCCATACGCAGAGCAGATCCTGCAGGATTTGGGCCCACCTGCTGCAGATTGGATATGCTGTAAAAACTATCAGAATTCAGTCCGCTGCAATGTCTGTTATAGTGAAGCTTAATTTTTCAGAGACCCTTGAAAAAAGTTTGTCGTGCACAGGGCCTTGGACGGTTGGAATAGGCTCCAACTTCATAGGATGGTGCACCTCTTCCAATTGGGCCGAGTGGCCAGGACGCTCAGGATCCAACCGGCGGCCATTTCCTTTTCCTGCAAAGCCTTTTGTAATAAAGACCCTTGCACCAAATTTGTGGTGCGCAAGGCTGGGGTAGGCTGGGCACTCTATCCCCTGTGGTAAGGAAGCCTATAACTTTTGATTTGCTGACCAGCATGCTCTCAAAGTTGAGGAGCATTTGCTGGTTCAAATATGAAGCACGGCTTTTTTCAGCCGCCTTTTCTTTATCCTTTTTTGGCGCCCCGAGGGTAGGTGAGGTGGTATTGGAGTTCACCCGCAGCAGAGAGTCAAGGGGACTGCTTTTGCAGGACGTAACTCTATCCCCTTCGGAGGTGGTCCTGTTTATCCGGAATTTGAAAACAGACCAGTTAGGCAGGGGTGCCACTCTTAGGCTGCCTGCCATTGGGAATAAGGGTCCTTGCCTGGTTAAGGATACCTCCAGGTATTTGGATCTCAGGCCATGGGGGGAGGGTCCATCCCTTATTCATGAGGATGGTGCCCCGTTGGCTAGGCATCAATTTGCTAAGGTGATGCGGAAAGCGATTGCAGCTTGTTGTTTGAAAGCAGCAGGTTACGCCTCTCATTCTTTCCGCAATGGTGCTGCCACTACAGCAGCTTATTGGGGACTGTAGAAAGAATTAAGAACATGGGCCGTTGGAAGTCCAATGCATTTTGTGGATATGTGCATAGACATCGTTGATCACCCATACTTATATTTGCTTGTCTTCTCTTAGGTGTGGCTGCTGTTCGCATTGTCGGCCACAGCATTGTCTACTGGGCCGGTATCAGAGCAAGGGAGTCTGGACTTGGACTCAGTCTTGGCTTTCCTCAACACGCGCAAGTGTCTTGGCTGTCCAGGCGTGGAATCCTGTTGGCCGAATTGCTTCCCCTTGTTCAGAAGCATGTGAGGTTGGAGGGGGCCCCTACAGCTATCGTGCTGCAGTTAGGGGGAAATGATCTGCTTGCCACGGACTGTTGTTATTTACATTTTACAGTTCAAAAGGACCTGGCTGAATTGGCAGAGTTTTTGCCGGGTGTGAAAGTTTTGGTCCCAGTTGCTGCAGAGACGCACCTGGTGTGGCAGTCGCTGTCCAGCCGCCACTGATGGAGCCAGAAAGCGTGTTAATAAGGTGGCAATGAAAGCAGTCATTGCTCATGGTGGTTCTGTGATTGCGCACCCCGATATAACCTTCAAGGCGGCCATCCTTTTCAGGGACAATGGTGTGCATCTTTCACCGTTGGGAAATGACACATGGTTAAATTCTGTTGTGTGGGTTTGAAGGTGGGGCTGCAGTTGTGAGTGGTTGGCGGCGAGCTTGAGTGCTCGGTGGCGGTTAGGCATTGGTTTATGGTTTGGTTGGTTGAGGGGCATGGATTGGCTGTGCCTGCCCCTCTAATGCTGCTGCTGCAAGGGATTCCGTTAAAGGAATTGGGAGCTAACTATTGCTTGTCCACTCTGTCAAGGGGCTCGGGCCATAGCAGTGAGCTCCTGGTTGCATTTGGGGTGAGGGCAGGTTCCCTGCTCCGCGTAACCCCAAGTGTATTCCCCATTCTGACTTTCGCATCGTGCGGAATGTCAGTCTGTCCCCCATGGTGGGGGCAGATAGTCGCAACCAATGCCTACGCAACCACTCACAAATTTGTATTTTAATAAAGTTGTGGCCAAAATTATGCCAAAAATCTTAAACAAAAACTTCTGTGTGATGTGTGAGTTATTGGGGTGGACCTGGGGACCTCGACACGCAAACCAGAGCAGCGCACAGAAACGCCGTTTACCTTCCCGCCGGAGCAGTACCTATTTATCTACATGCACTTTGACGTGCTTTCGAACTGCTAGGTGGGCAGGAGCTGGGACCGAACAACAGGAGCTCACCCTGTCGCGGGGATTCGAACTGCCGACCTTCTGATTGGCAAGTCCTAGGCTCTGTGGTTTAACCCACAGCGCCACCCACGTCCCTCAGCAATTACAATGGGGGGATGCAAATTAGCAGCACAACAGTAAAGACAGAAGCTCAGGACTAAAAACGGATCATGTTTGGCTTCTGAAGCAAAGTTTGCAAACCGGAACACCTACTTCTGGGTTTGTAGCATTCGAATTCCAAGTTCGTGAACAAAGCTGTACGAAAACCGAGGTACCACTGTATTGGCTCTCCTTTTGAAACGAAGTCAGACAATTTGACTCTGGAGATAAATTTAAACGGAGAGAATTTTGGAAACATTTCAGCCTTGATTTTGGAAAATTAAGTGCCAAGATTGAGAGAACCATAAAACAATGACTTATCATTGGTCAGATCATTGGTCCATCTGGCTCACTCTGCAGGTTTCCCAGGTGGCTCTCCTAGATGGGGTCTCTCCTGGCCCTACCTGGAGATTCCAGGGTTTGAAATGGGGGCCTTCAGCATGAAAGGCAGATGGCTCTACTGCTGAGGTATGGCCCTCTGCTAAGAGCACTTGATGAATTTCCAGCATTCTTCTGACCTAGGAGTCTAAACATAATGGGGGAGACAGCAGAAAAATCAATAATCATTACACTGATTTGAAACTTGTCTGAATGTGTGTAAGTGCCATTAGAAAATAGTTGTGGAAACTTTGAAGTCCATTATATAACAAAGATGCCTGGCATTGTGACCAATAGTTTGTTTTCCCAATAAAAAATCCACTTGCTCATAAACTTGACTGTCAGGTTTGCAACTCTCAAAAGAATGGAGAACTGTCACTTCTTAAATTATGGCTACTTCCAGATAAAAGCAACAGTACTTAAGGTGCAAGTTACATATGCCCTCTGGCAGTCTTACTGCACTTCCAAGTCATACAGAATTTTCTAAATAATTACATACATAAACCATGTTCTCCAAAGATTTGTGTTACCCTGGTTAATGATATACAGTGTATGCAACAGTCAGAATGGTGATATATGCCATTTTGCAATGCCATTGTCAGATGTTTTCATGATGATGTTGCTTTGGAAAATCATATGAAATGCTGCTATTTGATATATACATTTTTCCAAGTAATGTGATTCTTCAAGAAACACAAAGTTAAAATAAAAAATGTTTCTAAGTACATCATCCCCAAAGTCTTTTGAATTACAATATTTAACTGGTGCAGCTGGCTAAGGATCATAGCAATATAATTCACATTCTTGTAAAAGGTTTTCAACTGGAACTTTATTGTGCTGTCTGGCAGTGTCTGAAATAATGAAAACATAATGCATATTTCAAAGCAGGAGAATTAAATAAATATAAGTAGGTACAGATGAGATGGACAAAGGAAACAACTGGAAGATTCTATTACTAAGCTAGTACAAACTGAATCAACTGTGCCAAAAAAAAATCCCCTGCATTTTTTCAACCCTTATCTATTAATTAATGAGCAGAAAAATTGTATGTAAAAATTATCAAAGGGGGGGGGAGATAACATTTTAGTAAAATTCTGAAATGGAATAGTGTGCAGTGGTAGGAGAAGGCAGAAGTAGCATTCTCCTTAGCACTACATTGAATTCCTATCTATATTTGCAACCATAAGGACTATGAACTGGCTTGGTCATTAGAGTTTCTTAAGAAGCTGAATTATGCACCCTGTACCATGTACTTTTGAAGTGACCTGGGGTGTTAATGAGTCTCCTTACTTTCATTCTAAGTGGTCTGCACAATGCAGCCTCCCCAGGTGCCTGAACTTCTTGATATTCTGAAGTGGGCTGTCCTGTAAGAGTTGGGAGGTGGACAGCCTGCCTACTGTGAACCTGAGAGCTGATTGTTGTTATTGCTTTAAATGTTGTCTTTTCTAAGGTTATAATCAACACATTGTGGCTGGTTTTTTGGACTGATTTGGAACTATTGCTATTTGGAACTATGTATTGCTTTGTGTTATATTCACTGTTTTATTGAATTTGCATTTAGTCATATTACTGCATTTTTAATTAACATTTTAAAAGGTTGCTTTTTCATTTTTAAAAGACTGTGGAAATATTGTTTTAAAAGGCTAGAGAAAGGATTTTTTTTTAAAAAAAAACAACAAACCAAAGTCAGCAAGCACACCATTCTCAAGTGCTCAGTAGCTTCAGTTAAAACTCAAGGTAACTTGCTCCCATAGGGTGTTATCACATCAGGAAACACATGTAGCAGAATCAGACTGAATAGTAATGGTTTTCCAAGTGGTCTTTCCTAACCTGTTACCTGGAGGTGCTTGGGATTAAACGTTTTGCATCCAAGGTAAATTCTCTATCCACCAAATTACAGGGAACGAACATTTTGTGCACAACCAAGAGATGCACGACCACCAACACATGTGCTGTTTTTGGCCCCTGATACAGGGGTAGAATGGGCACAACTGCTGACATGGACCTGCAATGCAACCCCCACGCAAATGGAGAGTTGCCTTTACTGCCCTTCCCCAATATGCTCCGTTTGCTGCAACCCCCATATAGCCACAGAGCAAGACTTCATTAGCAATTTTTCTTTTTGCAGAAAAAGATGGGCCATCTTTTTGTTACTGAGTCTCCCATGATAGAGTGCTCATGTTGGTTGCTGAACTTGCTCTTTAAACTGGCCAGCTCACATACTTCTCACTGAGTATTCAACTTAGTATTTTTAGCTGTGCAATTTAACTTCTCCTCCCTCTCCCCAAGTGCTCCCCCATGTGACCCCTAAATTTGTTGTGGGCATTCCTCCAAACCCTACAAAGCACATTTTGGGATGAAGCAGGGTGCAAGTGGCAGGGGCGTGGTGGTGGTTTCCATTGCCCAAGTGGAAATCTTTGAGCTAATGGAACAAGTGCATTGGACATAGCTCCCCCTCAATGCTGTTCCCAGGGAGTTAAGCACCATTGGGACACAGTGGAAATTATTGCTGAGTAAACATGTACAGAATTGTGCTGTTTGTTTTTCATCAAAGCTATTTAAAAAAGACAATGCTATATTTTTATAACTGCAAATTCAAAAATGACATAGAAGATCTGAGCTCTTAAGAACACTTAAGAAGCAAGATGGGGGAAATCCCTTGTTTTAATTACTAATCTTTCTTACCATAAATTTGATGCTAAAATAACCAGTTATTTTAATTTAAACCTGCTTGTACTTCCATGTGCATAATGAACAAGTAAAAAATGACCCTCTAAAGAGCAATGCTGGACCACAAATCATTACTTGATTTTATTATCAAGTGCAGGATGCCATTCTCCAAAAGATATTACTGAGCTATAACTCCTTAGTTATTTTCAAGTGATGGGCTCTTAGGGTGCGCTAGATACACACACACACACACACACACACACACACAAATACAACCTTTCTGTACCATAGGTAAAGTTATTAAAGCTCTCTGCTCCCATTTCTCCTCTTCTTAGAAAGATATGACAAAGAAGATGAGAGAAGTATCTTTAAATCTGTAAAGGGGGTGGGGTAAGGAGATTGGAAAAGGCAGAAGAGAAGTGGTGTGTATACATGGGGGTGGGAGGTGAATGAGCCTTTAACAAGATTCATTTTTCTGTGGCAATAGTAGAGGGTAGCAACATGAGAGTAGGCTTTTTCAGAGCTGGCCTCCCACCTGTGGAATGCTCTTCTTAGGAAGGCATGCCTGGCTCCATCTTGATCTACTTTTAAGCTCCAGGCAAATACTTTTCTTTCTACTTTGGCTTTTGGCCCTTAATTTTAAGGGTGGCACTGTGACCTCTTTTAGTGGGGCAGGATTAGTAAATCTTAACCTGTTTTATCTTTTTTAGCTGTGTTTTTTTAGATTTTTATTGGATGCTCTTAAATCCTTCTAACGCCAAACTTCTGATCTTCAGAAGATCACATCAGCATAGGCAGGTGTAGCAGGGATGAGTGAATATGTCAATTTCAGCTTGGCCGAGTTTCTCATCTTTCCAATCTCTAGTTCTGTTCTCCATGTTTCCACATGGGCTTGTGATTATTGTTATTTTTTAAAAAAGAAAAGAAAATGCCCTCATCGGTATTTCAATACGAATTTATCCTAATATACAAATGCTTGTATGGAATTTTGCCTCTTATAAGCAGTTTTGCAAAGCAATTTCCCCTAACATAATGCATTTTTAATGTTACTTGCATAAATATAGGCAGTTTTATGCACAGTTTACCATAGTATATGCATTTTGTATACACTGCTTGGCTGGAGAACTACATTGCAAAATTTGGACAAGTGCAAATTTCAAAGGATGGTTTTGCTTTGGTTCTTAGTTTCAAAGAGTGAATTAAATGCAAACTGAACTGATATTCTTTCCCATCTGTACACGGGAGCCAATGGGCACAATTCCAAACCCCTTTCCCCCACATTTCATGCATTAGCTGTCCACAGAGATGTATTCTGAGAGACCAGTGCCTGCATTCGTTTATATTCTTATATAGTTGAGCTATCTGATCCTCTGGAAATTTCAGCACAAAATATCCAGAAGGCCAGTTAAACACATAGAGATCAGGGGAGGAATCAGTAGGCATAATTCTGAACCTCCTTGTATTATTTGGCCACAGATACATAATCTGCTTCCAATCAGGAAACCAGCATTTAATTATATTCTGACAGAGTTCAGATATCTGATCATCTAAGTGTTTCAGCATGTCTTTTGGGAGTCCCTTGTTTTATAGGTCTCATCCCTGCCACTCCCCATCAAAAGCACTGGTCCTCAGGCTAGATTTTGCTATTGCTATTTTGTCAATCACAAGCATTTTGAAGGAAGAATAAAAGCATATGCAGCAATGCACTGCCTAGCCTACCTGCAGAGAATGAAACAAGAAGTCCCAAATTACCAGAGGCAATGGAACCAGGGCTTGGAGTAAACAGACATACAAACAACATGTCAGCCATGATAAAGAGTGTAAATTTGAACAGCTGTCACTTCCACAGGAGCAGAAGGCAGCTTAAACAGAATTGGCTTTGGATAAGTTCCAAGGAAGAAGAAGAAAATATGAATCATTAGCCCTGGGCACCCACAGAAAATATTGTCTAGAACCTCTCCCCCCCATCCCCCTGTATTAGCTATGTTGCCAAGGAAAGGGTATGGGGAAAGGACAAGAGTAGAAAATAAATATACTGTTCTGCACCACATTTCCATGATTTATTCTTGTTTCTTCAAATCATGATGCAAACTGGTTGCAGTGGTGGCTGGTGACCTTTTGGACTGGTAGGACAAAAGGCAGGAATCTGCAGGTGTAGTGTCATGCACTGGGCCCATCAACATGCCACATCAACCACCTGAGTGACAAGGTTCATATTCTCTGGCTGGGCCTTATCCCCTAGGTGACATTGCGGATCACTGATGCTGGACCTTCAGCTGCTCTAATCATCCAGCTTGGTGAGAATGACCTTGGCAATAAAAAGGGAATTAACCTCAGCCTCATAGCTACTATGAATTTGAATGCTCTGCATGCAGAACATCCTCAAATGACCATCATTTGGCCTGAACTTCTGAAATATCAAGGCTGGAAGGGAGCAATAGACCCTGCCCAGGTTGAAAGGACCTGGAAGAAATTTAACAGAGTGTTGTGGCACAACATGCATGCCACGATGACACCCTTAGGAGCTTAACCACACCTGCTTGACCTGTGCTTTCCAGGCAGGGGTCTGAACAGTTTCCCCCTTGCCCCACTCCTTTCCCAGAGAAAACCCACTCTTTAGCTCTAAATCAGAACAAATGGCAATCTGTGGAAAACCTGGTTGCTGTTTGTTCCGGTGGGATGCTAAAGAACAGTTTTCCCTGGGGGAAAGCAGCAGGACAAGAGAAAACGTGGATATGCCCTAAGATGGGACTCTGCACAAACCAGGTGGAATATACTTTTCTTCAACGGGCAACCACAAGTAGTTGTCAGATATTAATAATAGCTTTCAAGATTTCAGGTTTGGCGACTAGACAGCATGGGTCATCAACTTGAGTCGCAGATGAGACACTGGGATGAATCCTTAGAGGACACAGGTGAGGATGGGGCCCTGCTTTAATGTGTAATCAATGATGTTGTAGATTAATTTGAACCAAATGCATGTCTCATGTGTTTATTTGTTGTCCTGGCACCCCTACAAGGTTTCACTGCACCTAAGTCAGCTTGACATTGATATCAGGAAAGGTCCTCAAAGAGATAATTAAATGGTTGGTTGGTGAGAACTTAGGAAAGCATGCTATGATTACTAGGACCAAGCATAAATTTCTCAAAAATAGGTTATGCCAAACCAATCTCATTTCTTTTTCTTTCTTTCGCTTCTTTCTTTTCTTTTCTTTTCTTTCTTTCTTTCTTTCTTTTGATAGAGTTACAAGTTTGGTGAATCGGGGGAATGCTATTGATGTAGTGTATCTTGATTTCAGTAAGGTTTTTGCCAAATTCCCCATTACATTCTTGTGGAGAAGCAGGCAAAATGTGAGTTGGGCACGGTACTGTAATTGTTAGGTGGATTTGTAAGTGGTTGACTAACCGAACACAAAGCATGCTCACTAATGGTTCCTCATCATCCTGGAAAAAAGGGACAAGTGGGGTGTCTGTCCTGGGTTCTGTCCTAGGCCCATTGTTGTTCAATTTATAAATGACTTGGGTGAAGGAACTGAGAGGATGCTTGTCAAATTTGCAGATGATACCTAACTGGGAGGGCCAGCTAATGCCATAAAAAAGAGAATCGGGATGGGCTACAACCACTGCTCCCCTGATTCTGGGGAGGGAACAGGCAGTATCTGTTTATGTTCTGGTTACTTTAGAAAACCTGGCATGTGCCTGTATCATATTATATATAAAATAAAGTACATAATATGGGAGAATTGTTCATATTTTAGATGAACTGGCAAATAATAAAAATCATAATAACTCGCTTCTCATCAAGCTCATGATAATTTTTTAAAAAATAATCCATGCATTTAAGATTAACATTGAGTTTTGAAGAAAATTCCATTTCACATAAAAGTTCCATAGTTGTTTGCATGTGCACATCTAACAAAAGTGAATGCACCAATGTGCATAGGCTCTGTTCATGGGCTGAACGTGAGTTCTGGGTATATATTCATAAGCCCCTTTGAAGAAATGCCAGTCAAAATGTGGTGGTCATGGGCAGTGGCAACAAGCATGATCTCAGTAATCTCTTCCACATATACATTTCCACAGATTTTGCATGTGCAAGGCTATAAAACATGAATAAGGAACATCCACAAACCTCTCTCACATTTCTGAGAGCCATAATTCTGTGTATGGAGCAGAATTTATGACACAGCAGTTCAAAATGAAAGGCTGCCCAAATGGTCCTGCCCTCACTGTACTGTTCCTTATAAGTATACATACCGGTGCTGTTTGTTTACTGTCATGTAACAAGGACTAATTATTTTACCTAAGCTACATGACAGTAGACAGAAGGCTTTGTTGATGTTGCTAAATAGGGAGAACACAGAGGGAATGAGAATTTTCAGTGTCAATGGAGTTTTATTCAGGTGTATGACTGAAACAGAATTTAAGTTGTCCACCCCACCCCACGCGCTCTATTACACTCAATGTTCTACTTACATTTCCTCAGACCATTCCATCTGGTTTGTTTCAGCATGATTATTTTTATCCTTCCAAGACAGTAGTATCCATTTATCTTGTACAATCAATCAATCTCTGACTATTTGTGCATACCACCAACTTAGCATCCCCCTCGGCTAACCACACCGGTGCTTTCTGAACTTGTCTCTTAAACCAAGATGAACAGCTACTTGATTGGCCCTGGGCAGCAGCTCCAGAACAAGTGGAGTGGATTCCCTAGGTCCAGTTATGGAGCAATTGTGTGTCTATCAAGAAGGATGAGGTTTTATTCTTCACCAAATCAGCCAGTGAACAGCTAACCTGCACAAAATGCATGTTTTGCTTTGCAGACAACACATCAGTGTCGGGACACAGTAATCCCTGAATAGCTGATCTACAGAGAGGGCTGCATTGGAGGGGCATTTGCTCTCTGTGAAATAGAAGGCACTGGCTTTTGTTAGGTAGGTAGACACACAAAAGCCCAAGAACCAGGCAAAACTGGAAGTGTCAGGTGCATGGCCAAAGCAAAGAACATTACAGTATGTGCTGTACTTCAATGGTGCTCTGATCAACAAAATAAGCATTTATTAATTTAGTAATAAATTAATTTAAAATAAAGGGGCATCTGCCGTATTATCTTTAAAAGCATAACCAAATTGGTTGGTGAAACAGCCTGCACTCAAGTGGGGGGAATGGAGTGGGTGAGAGGTGGGAATGGTATTTTGTTTTGATGAATAGGTCTAGGTTTTAATCACAGCAAACTAAATTGGGACCATGTTGTGGGGAGAAGCTTTAGGTCCCCACACATGCTATTCACGATGGGAGAAATCTCCCATTGGTGCCAGAGCAACTTTCCTTCCACTGCAAACCTCAAACATGTGGTGTCTGTTTCTTCATCGGGACCATGGTGGGACCAAGGGGTTAAAGTCCCTCTCCCTGTAACACTAGGGTCAGACTCTGGCTAGAACCCCTCCCACCCCACCAACTATTTAATTCTTTATTTAAGAGAGAAATATCTGCTACCCAGTGCCAAGTTGCAGGACAAACATTAGATCTAGTCTTGTTATAATTGCACAGGGCTGGGCTCATACATAAGCTGTCTAAGAACTGGAGGATGGGTGGAAGGGAATTGAGCACATCTAAATCAAACCCTGAAGCATGAGTGGGAGTTATCCCACTGAGACAAATTTGCTGCACAGCAGAAATAAAAGAACTTTGGACTCTCTCTCCCATCTCCTGTGTCTAATTGGCAAGATCCAGGAAGAGCAGGGGCTTTCCTGCAACAATGTGACAGCCATTTAGATATTTGAGGACATTTAGGTATCCTCTTAGGCTAAGCATACCACATTCCCGCAACCGTTCTTCCTAAGGCCTGGTTTTCACACCCTTCATCATCTTAGTCGCTCTCCTCTGCACACATTCCACCTTGTCAATAT